AAGATAATAATAATAATAAAAAGATTATTAAATACTAAATAGTAATATACTATTTAATATAAAGATAAAAGATAATTAACTAAATATATAATAATAAATAAATATCTATATATATTAAAAAATATTAAAGCTATACTTTAATATCTAAAATTATTATTTTATTATATAGAAGTTATACTTTTATATATTGAAATTCTGCTTTATTGAATTATATGCTTAGCATATGCTGAAATCAGATATTAATTTATAATTCCGATAATTATTATATTAATCGTTATAGCTAGATGAAAAGTGTAGCCACTTTTCAGTCTTACTTTTGTAATATCTGATTATACTACATAATAATTGCGATTACTACTATTCCAACCTTATTAGGTGCTTATATAATAGCATCCGCTATAATATTCATTGGTTGTGACTTATCGATTCTTGTGACAGTTTGGTCCAGAAACTCAGGACCAGAACCGAACCAAATGACAGCCTAAATTTAATTATCTAAATAAAAACTAGATTAGACTTAGATTAATCTAATTATAATTAGTAATTCTTCTTTAATATAGTTTAGTTTCAGTTCGAAGAGCTAGAACCGTTCAGTTTTCAGTTCTGATTCTAATAATAAGGACCAAACCGAACTGACCCACTTTTGGGTTTGGTCCAGAAACTCAGAACCAGAACCGAACCAAATGACAGCCTAATTATTATTATTATCATTATTAAATAATTTTTTATAATCTATTTTAATATTAGAATTAGAATTAAAGTCATCATTAAATAAATTAAAATCCTTTTTATCAAACTTAAAGATGAAACTATTATCTAAATCTTAAAATAATCAATCTATATTAATCATGATTAAATCTAGATTTTGATAATAAGTAATTAATAATTATATAGTAGAAGATTTATATAATTTAGTAAACTTTATAATATATATTCTTCTATATTGATATTAATATTAATAAAAATCTAACAGTTTTATATCTTAAGATAAAATAATTAGAACATCTATGTATATTAAGTTAATATCTAAATTTATATTAATATTATTAGTGTTTATCTAGAAAAAGATATTGCTTATCTTATTATTTAAGGTATTATTATTAAGATAATAATATTAATAGTAAATTATAATTAATAAACTAAACAATTTAATTATAGAAATAGATATTAATAGGGAATTATTAAAACTCAAAAGATAAATATAGATAGAAAAAGAAGAAAGATAAGGATAAAAGAATAAAAAAGAAAAGAAAGAGCTAGTTAATAGTTAATATAATAGAATAATGATATTTTAGAGAAAAAGACAGAAGGAAAAGGAGATTTAGAAGGATAAAGAAAGGAAAGGCAGTTTAATCTAATTAAATCAAGTTACTGGAAGGAATCAGACAAGATATTGTGATGCAGATAATGCAGAATAAAAGATCTGCTATTAGAAGATTATTTGACCATATTATATAGAGAGAAGTGAATTTATTGAAGAAGCTGCTAATATTAAATAATAAAAAGAAAAGATGAAAGATAAATATTGAAAAGTGTTTTTTAGGAAGTTTATATTTTAAAATATAGAAAATAATAAAGTTAATAGAAGGGTAGCTAAGATATAGTACTTGAAAAAAGATAGAAATAAAAAGTATTACAGCAGGTCTACTAGCATATGATGAATGGAGACGTCTATAGCTGTCTGTATTACCATAAATGTAGAGGCTGTTATACCATACTATGACCGGAACAATATACTGCTGGAGCTGGGGATGCAGATTTTAGCGTCAAGAGGAGGCGAAAATGGCATCGGTGGCACAGATTGAAACCTTCAATGAGTATAAATAGAATATTTAATATATAAAGATTTAAATAGAATTAAGATTTTCTATATTAAATAGTTATATCAGTGCTATATATCTATATATTTTTAATAATATATATATAGATTTATAAGATGCTATCTTAAAAATAATAAAAAAGAATAATAAGAAAAATAAAGCTACTATAAATATATATATATTTATTAGTTAAATATTCTTATAGACTTTAAATCTTATCTAAAGATATCCCTGAGCCCCTCAGTCCTGCTGGATTAGGCTTGAACATACTCCCTAGGTCTATCTCTGTTACAGATTTTTATAAAGATTATTTCTATAAAGATAATATTTGTGAGGCCTGGCAGCAGCGAGAGCGCTGCAGGCTCACAGAGGCTTATAAGCGTGCCAACCCTGGAATTGGGCAATGGCCCAATTACCTCAGTATTACTTTTTGGCATTTAGAGGTTGGCAGTGTCAAGGAGCCTTACATAAGACTTCTTTCTATTAAATGCTTTCTAAACAGCTTAAACAGTATTTAAGAGATAGAGAAGCTACTTAAAGATATATCAGTCCTCTCTAAATTAATAAATAGATTATACATGATGCTCTACATTTAAAGGATGTATAGCAATGCTTTTAGAAGTGCTATTGGTAAAGCTATATTCAAAATGCTTATAGAGGGCCTTAGGGCTTATTCTGCCCTAGCGCCTGCCCTCCAGGCTTAGAGAGGTCAGCACTGTTTTCAGGTGTTCTAAGGGTCATTTAGAAGCCCTAGACACCCTCAATTGACGTTAGAATTCAAAAAAGCAGATTTTGATTTTCCGGAGCGGTTTTGTTCCCTTCATAGCTTATAGCTGGGTAAGGTTGTAAAACTTGAGTAAATAAATTAAAGCTAATAATATAATTAAATAAAAATTAGAAAATATTCTCAATTTTTATTAAAAAAATAAGGCTGTAAATATCTTTGTTTAAAATATATTATTAAATAAAATAATTATAATAAACTAATTAAAAAGTTTACTAAATATCTAAAAAAATATATAAAAAATTATTAATAATTTCTATTAATAATATTCTTACAAGTCTAGATCTAATCTTATTAGAATTTAGTCTTAAAAAAAGAGATATTATTATAATCTTAACTTACTATTTAATCTATTAATCTATTTTCTTTAATCTAATCAAATATAACTATAATTGTATTTGAGTGTAATTCTAATAAAAGCTATCCAGCTATAAGAATCCTAATGTAGCTTCTTAAGCTATATCTTATCTTTAATTTTGTATCTAGCTCTGCCTATGTGCCAGTTCATCTGGCCTGATCAGTCAATCGTCAATCCTCGATCTCGCCCGCCTGCCGCACCCTGACACTGAAGCGGACCATTCGGGTTTCAGTTCGGGTTTGGTTTGGTCCGAACCGAACCAAATGACAGCCTACATATGTTTTGACAGAGAGATATCTTAAAGTGCAATAGTATTTTAAGTTATGAATGTTTTGACAGAGAGATATCTTAAAGTGCAATAGTATTTTAAGTTATGAATGTTTTGTTGACTTTTTTAGTGTAATTAAAGTAACTTATGTTAAAGAATTATGCTAAGATGAATTAGATATATGGAAATGAGTGTATTGATATAGATAATATTTTCTTATAATCTGTATATATTCTTAGTATATATGGATTGTAGGTTTTAATTATTGTTCTACTCTATATACAATTCTCCTATACTCTATTATATACCTGAGTATATATACTTATATAATCTGTAATTCTGTGTAGATAGTGAATAGACTGTGTCTAACTGTGGTAATTGATTAGTTGTGGTGTTAGCTGCTTTACGAGCTGCTTGCTGCTTACCTTCAAATAGTTTAACTTGTCCTTAGCCTCATGCATGTTGATTTCGTAACCGATGTTGAATGATTCCCCCATAGTGTAAACTATTAGAATATTCAAAAGTATTTAATTTACTTGATAGACTATTAAATAATCTTAATATAAAATAAAAATATGATAGTGTTTGCGCTACTGTCCTGGTGAATTCAGCGCTGTACATAACTTCTGTGCCCACCTCCGTACTAGATATGAAAGATAGAGAGAGAGAGATGAAATATAATCTTAAAACTTTGACTATTAAAGTTTATCTGAAACAGGAAGTGATCACTCTCTCATAATTGCGCAAAGTATCCTAAAACCTTCCGACGAGGAACCGAGCTGCGCGACCTCTTTGACTGACAAGACTGCACGAGCCGCTAGCAGACTTGCACAATAGTGGAATAATCAACTCGTTACAGCCGAGAGACTAAAATTTGAATATAGGACTAAGAAGTAGTGCTTATGCTGGCTCAATAATTTGGCACTATTGTACAAACGTGTGTTATTTATTTTGCTGCTTTAATGAATCCAATGTTTGTAATATGAAGCTATTTATATGTATTCTTGATATGAAAACGTCTTTTAGACGCGAATTGAAGGAATATGGCTTCTCGTACACGTAAACCCATTGAGCGAACCCTGAGTCATAACTTGGAATGATTTGGACTAGTTAAATGCCTTATGCTTGGCACTGAAGCGCTATCTTAGTGCTATATTCAAACTTTTGTCCTCAATTGTATATCGGCGATAACTTGCATTGGATGTACCACGCCAGTGATTGCCTAGGAAATTTGTAGCCTTAGATTGCCGGCCTCCCCGCACAGAATAAGGTTTCTCGGCTTCGGGTTTGGCGCTGCGGTTCATAACAACTGTCAGCCAACAGATAAACCGTAACTTCAAGTCCGGCAATAGTGAGATTCCCGGTTATACAAAACGCCCTGCCAGTGGCTTCACCATAATTTCACTGCGGACGATCCTGCAGACCCAAGGTTCTTAACCCTGCCATTACCGAGGTGCGATATTGTACAGATGAGCTTTTGAATAATGGGGCCCAAAGGGCGAATTAGAAGAATCCGTAGTATCCACATTCCCCGTATACCCCAAACCCCAAACTCTGGATTGTCGATCTACGTTCCTGCAACTGTTTACAAGAGGTAAACACTTTGGACAACAACCATGAAAGGAGGTAACTTATAAGATCCTCCCAGGCCCCCGAGCTGTTCAAGGGCTAGAAGAATGAATTATCGACTTTCTTGAGAACTGAAAAAAAAACAAAGTAAAAAATTCATACATTGAGAACCTGTACGGTACAAATATTACTATGAGCAAAATGACCACTACTACTGGTGAGGAGAACCACCATGAGTCAATCCTTCCATCGACCTCTATAGAGAAAAACGATGATTTCTTGCAACGCATGAAGACAGCTGGGAGTATTTCGATCCCACCGGAACTGTTTGAGCAGTTGTACCTTGCCCCTCAAAATCGGGTCAAAGGCGAATTGCGACAGACTTTTGGGAATCCCACTCCGATTGGTATGTCATTTTTGATATACTTCAAACCAACTTTTGTCATCTCTATACTAACACGTTGACAGCTTTGGGTGGCTTTTTACTCTGTGTCACTCCATTCTCAATGGTGTTGCTTGGTTGGCATGGAGCGGGAGGACTCGACGCTGCGAATGTGTAAGCTAAGTCTTATAATGAAAGAACTTGAAGCTTTCTAATTGTTTATAGTGGGTCCTTAATCTTTTTAGGTGGTCTTCTAATGGTATTGGGAGGTGTCGGAGAATGGATTCTAGGTATTTGGTGGTAATAATCACACTTTTCTTTACTAATGAGTGTCCGCAGGCAACACTTACCCAGCTACCGTCTTTGCTATTTTTGGTAAATAACCTGTGAATCGTCCTAATTTATGTTTTATTAATATAGATATGACTGATAGGTGGATTCTTTTTTTCTTTCGGCGCTACTCTGGAACCTAGCTTCAACGCGTACGGCGCGTACTCTCCAGACCCTTCAAACCCTGCTAAGGGAATGAATGCCACCTTCTTTGCAACCTTCGGATTCTTTACAATGGCAGTCGTGATCATACTCATAATACTTGGCATCGCAAGTATCCGAACGAATGTATGCTTTTTCTTGCTATTCTGTCTCTTTGTACCTGCAGGTAAGTAAATAAAGGTAATTAATATGTGAAACCTTATAGACTAATATTGGCTGCAGTTGGTTGTCTTACTGGATCTTTCTTCAGCCTTAGTTATGGTAATGCTATCTATGCTACCATGCTTCAACATATTAGTGGAGGTCTGCTGTTGGCTGCAAGCTTAATCGGATTTTACATCTTTATAGCATTGGTTCTTGCGTCAGTTGATTTCCCAGTTATGATTCCACTTGGGGATTTATCCACGGTAATTAAAGGAGCGCAAGATAAGGCCAAAGAAAAGAAAGATGCTGGTATGGTTTGAGAATATGACTGATATATCCTGAACCAGATGCAACTCAACGTGGCTTGGGTAGGAGAACTGCCAACTCGTAATAAATTTACCGACGTTGGCAGGTGATGAATCGGAAGTTCTTGGGGGTATGGCTTGAAAGGCAAGAAAAACTTCATAAGAAGTCAAACTAGTTTCATATTTGTTAGCAATCGGGTTGTAAGTAGTGGTAGTAGCAGAATTCATTTACCCAATCTGGTGTGTCTTACATACGTGCTGCTGTGAGGAAACGTAGCTGCCAGTGCCGACGTTTAAGTCCTAAGCTGTAAGCTGTTTAGCCACGGAGAGATGGCACTTGAAGCGGTGATATCGAGGCTCAACCTTCACAAAGGAAAATCTAGATTCTACAACTGTGTCGCTCCTCTCCAATTTCCAACTATTCTGAACGCTCAAGCTCATTAGTAGCATCGTGCTCGTCCGCCAGATTGGGTCGGACGGATCCCGCGAGCGTTCACGCTGCTCCTCGGACGGGCCCATTGGCTCGACTCTGACCTTTTAAGGACCATTGGAGGTTTTCACTCTGTAGATGACCATCCGAAATGGTCACAACAACATTGGAGATAACTCCTATATCGTACAGTCCAAAGTTCTAGATGTGACTCGTGTAACCAATGCTTTGCCGCCACAATGCAAATGAGCTGAACCCGGCCCATTAAGGCATTTGGCAGTTATATTTTCGCGTAAGATACGTCTGGGGTAGTGGTTGCCACTTAACCAAGTTGGAAGACCACATGATCCAACACATGGCGCACGGTGTCCAGCAAGCAATCAGTTAGCCATATCTCGAACACTATGAAGCCGGAAATAGATTACACGTGCACGCGAGCCCAGGTCAAATATGTCTTGTATAAGCACCGATTTTTCTAATTCGTTAACTTTGACAATTTTCTAGCATGTCGCGTCAAAATTGTGCGCCGTTCTCTCAGTTCTACAGCGTCGTATGCGTGATTTCTTAGATCTCGGCAACTGATCTCATCATTCGATTGTTGCTTTTTGGGAAATTATACAGCTAGAAGTATCCTGTTTTCATTACTGGGTAGTTTATTTTTCAGGTGGAGACTTTAATAATCTTTATAAAGATTAATAAAGCTTTAATAATTTTTAAATTTTTTTATATATATATTTTTAATATATTTTTTATTATTAAAAGTTTATTAATTCTTATTTATAAAAGATTTTTATATAGAGCTTTTTTTAATTATTATTATTATATATATTAGAATAATATATATTTAATAATTTTTAATTCTTCTAAATAGCTTTTATAATTAGAGATATTATATTTATTAATTTAATATAGATATACTATTATTAAGATATATTTAGTTTTAAATTAATATAAGTATTATTAGGCTGTCATTTGATTTGGTTCTGGTCCTGAGTTTCTGGACCAAACCCAAAAGTGGGTCGGTTTGGTTTAGTCTTTAATATTAGAACCAGAATCGAAAACTGAATGATTCTAGCTCTCTAAATTGAAATTAAATTACACTAAAAAAGAATTACTAATTATAGTTAGATTAGTGTAAGTCTAATCCAGTTTTTATTCAGATAATTAAATTATATTAAAGAATTTTTAACTATAGTTAGATTTTATTTTTAAAAATATATTAAAATCTTTTTAAATTTTAATAAATTTAATAGATAAATAATATAAAAATTAGAATTAATTATTTAAATTATAATTTTTTATTTAATTATTAAAATATATTTAAAAAATAGATAGATAATAATAAATACTAATTATATTATAGAATAGATATAGAAATATATATATTTTTTTTTAATAGATAGATTGGCTGTATAATATAATTTAAAAAATATAAATAAAAAATAAAAAAGATATTATTACTATTTGGATAATTCTTAGATTATAATTTAAATATTAAGAATTTATTATAATATTTATAAAAATATCTAAAATAAAATCTTAATTTAAAAAATAAGAATTTAATTTATGAAAAGCTGTTTTGGAAATGATTATATAATCAATAATAATTATAAAGAATTAGGGTTAATTCTAAATGTTTTAGTATTATTAATAGAAATTCATTAGTATTTAGATATTCAGATAAAACTGAATCAAAAACCCAAACTGAACCAGACCCAAATAGGCCCCAAAAAACCATATGGTCCTGGACTTGGTGAATTGAACCACATCAGTTCACTGTATATAGGACCAGAACTGGACCATTCGGGTTTCAGATCGGTTTTGGTTCAGTTTGAACTGAACCAAATGACAGCCTAAGTATTATATTACTTATTTAAAGATATTAATAGCTATTAGATTGATATATTATTTTAAAAGAATATTATAATGCTATTATTATTTTCATTTAGTATTTATAATTCTTTGTAAGGGCTAGGGTTGGTAGAGCGTGAATATATTGATTCCTATGTCGAATGAGGCTTCACTAGTATGTGCCCTGCGTATGGGTAGCTATTCGCTACCCCCTTTTACTATGAGGATTCGGCCCAGTGTTTATGAGCGGTGTCTCTAGACACGTGACTCACCAGCGCCCGCATCACGTGCGCTATATAGAATCAACTAGTGTTTGGTATTGTCAGGACCCACTTCTGACATGACACAAAAATTTGTCAGGTTTGACAAATTTTTGGAGGCCTGCGTCAGATCCCTTTTTGCTAATAAATTTTGATAGCGCTATACCTATTTAGGTACGTGAAAATGGAAGAAACTACTCACGTGATTTAGGTCTAAATATTTTTAGAAAAGCGGCGGCCTAATGGCCGCCGCCAAGATATTTCTCTATGTTTTTATTGGCTGATGATCAAGTTTAGCCAATTAAAGTACTTAAATTAGACCCACTTCGAAATTACGCAAATTGTCAGATTTGACATGACAAGACCTTGTCATGTCAGGTTTTACAATGACACGCTCTGTCAGTCATTTTACAAAACCCTAGAATCAACACCAACCTCTGTACATTCGAATAGGGGCGTTACATTCTTATAATTAGTATTCTAGAGAGTTAAATTATTTACTATGCTCTTAAGGTCTCTATATAGATCTAATTAATATGGATGAGTGAGATATCTAGATATTTAATATTTTAAGGCTTTATTATTATTTATTTAGTGGTTTTATCTGCATTCTTATTATTAGAGGCCCTTTTATGCTTAAATATCTAATAGATAATGGTCTATTAATTTCTATTTAATACGCATCTAATGAGGTCATATATCTGGAGTGTAAGATATTGACTGGGCCTAGATATGCTATGTATTAGATAGTTTATAGTGATTTATAAGTCTAAGAATATTTTAATAATGTCTAAAAGATCTTTATCAATTATCTATTTTAGTGCTTCTATAATACTTATTAATTTAGTATTAAATATCCCTTTATCCTTCTTTAGAGGCGTCAGCCGCGTCTCCTAAGGCATATTGAGGGCCTTATAGGCCATCCTAGTCCCTGTCTGCCTATTGTCTAGGTGGGAGCCGTCTGATCAGAGCTTAGTGCCTGCGTACTCGTCTAGGGCCTCCTGCAGCGCTGCCTCCGTGCCAAAATGTTTTATTTAAGTATATTGTTACGCCATATTGCTATTCTGCCGGATCAACCCACATCGGGTTCGGCTTCCCGCATTTACACCGCCTATTGGTATTTAGCTATCATGCACGCTGCCGGCACCTTAATATATTTAGAATCAATCAATAACTTCAAATCAAATGCATTTCTCAGGCTTTATGCCTAACATATATTCTAAATCTTTTTATAAGAATTTAATTTATGAAACTGTTCTAAATATTACTATCAAAAAATATTTAGAATAAAAAAGTCTTTAGTATATTAAAAAACTTTATTATTATAATTAAAAATTATTTTAATTATAGATTCTTCTATTTTTTATAAAAATATTATTATTTCTTTATGATATTTTAATTTTTTTTAATATTTTTAAATATCTAATAATAATCATTTCTAAATATTTATTAATCTTTTACTCTGAGATATAAAGCAATTAGAATATAAAATGATTATTAGAAAATAGATAAATATTGAGATTCATTAATCTAATATAGAGTTTACTTAGATATAGACTAATCGCTAATCTATGGTATACATAGCTATAGATATGGATTATATAATATCTTAGCTAGTTAGTATCTTAACAGCAGCAATGTAAGGTCCTCTGAAGATACTTCAGAGGCGCTGAATGGTTATAGACCTCTTATAACATGTAGGGCCTCACACCTAGGTATAATAAAATGATACAGATTTCAATATATGCTAGACATATGACTAGGCTGTCATTTGGTTCGTGTCACAAGAATCGATAAGTCACAACCAATGAATATTATAGCGGACGCTATTACATAAGCATCCAATGAGGTTAGAACAGCAGTAATCGTGATTATTATATAGTACAATCAGATATTACAAAAGTAAAGCTGAAAAGCAGCTATACTTTTTATCTAGCTATAACAATTAATACAATAATCATCAGAATTATGAATTAATATCTAATTTTAGTATATACCAAACATATAATCCAATAAAGCAGAGTTTTAATATATAGAAATATAACTTCTATATAATAAAGTAATAATTCTAAATATTAAAATATAACTTTAATATCCTTTAATATATATAAATACTTATTTACTATTATATATTTAATTAATTATCTTTTATCTTTATATTAAATAGCATACTATTATTTAATATTTAATAATCTTCTTACTATTATTATTATCCTTAATAGATAGCCCTCTAATATTAATCTTATATTACTTTTTTATTTTATATTAATAGAATATTCTCTAAAATCTCTAATCTTAAAACAAATTATTAATAACTTTTAATAATAAAAGACCTTTATAATATTTAAAAAGTTATAGATAAGTAATATTATCTTTAATAATAGTAAATAATAATTGTTTATCTTTTAATAAAATTAAGCAAATCTTAATAACCAAGCTTAAAGATATTTTTGTCAGAATTATTAAATTTAAAA